ATGGACCCTCTGGGTAACTCTAAATCCTACAACTCGGTTTGCGGGAGGAGTTCGAGTGGGCCATCCAGAAGTCTGGGATCGAGCCAGAAAGCAAGGACCAGCTTCGCGTTGCAATGCTTTTGGGGTTCTCTTGCGGAGGAATATGCCTTATTAGGGGTGGGGCGGACTGAGATTAGTGTGAAGGGTTTGCGGTTGGGGGTTTGAGGATTCTGGGGCTTTAAAATGCAGGATTTAGGAGTATAGAAAGGAAAATCACCTACAAAATGACCTGGAAGGCTGGGCTAATATAGCGGTTATACTGGTTCGTATCAAGATTTTCGAGGAATGGATCCCGAAAGCTCAAGTCATGATCCCTATATGGGGGTTTCCCAAAATTAGGGGTACGATTTTGGGGATCCCTAGAATAGGAACTAGAATATATTGCGGTCTGTATTGGGGAACCCTAATTTTGAGAAACTACCATATCCTTCTTATATTCCATTCCTTCATTCTGTACTGATCACCAGTAGGCTTTACTTCGCCGACCTGGTGAGCCTAAGAACCCCAAGCTCTAAACCATAAGAACCGAAGAACCCACAAGACACCCAGCTCAACGGTCAGGGTCTGGTTCCCAGGGTTTGGGATTTCGGGTTTAGGATTTCGAAGTGCCTTCAGTTACATAGAATCCTTGAGGGAGATGTTCAGAATCCTGTTTCAAACGCCAAGAAGGGTTTAGGGCTTAAGGCGAAACATCAAAAATCTGAAGTTTGGGATATTTTGGGATTCTCGGTGGATACTGGCCAGGCTGCAGCTTTTGAAGCCGTCTGCAGCAACGCCATCGATACCTCCGCGCTGAATTTTCTCAAGGCGCGTGCGGCGGTAAGTGATTCAAAGTTCTACCTGAACCCCAAAAATATGTAGAATAATTGCCTTTTGGGCTATTTGGGCTCTTATTTTGCCTACTTTGGAACAGGATTGAGGGCTTTGGAGCTTGGATTGCTGTGATTTGCGTCTTGAGGTCCTTAGGATACTGAGCTACTGGATTGCAGGGATTAGGGTCCAGGGTTTTGGGTTTTTTGGATCGTGGTTTAGGTTTAGGAGCTTGGACTGAACAACCGACTGTACCTGCCCTTGTCCGATGAGCTGCCTTGAACTATGTCTGCCGATCAATGACAGAGCGCATCAGGACAGGAGGGCTGTGTCCTCCTTCCATGGAGTATGAGAGCCGTTGATGTCCAACCCAAACTCAGAGTCTGCCTGCCAGGTATTGGTTGAAAACAAGCGGACCCACCTGCCGCCCCGCATGATGGATATCTTTGAGGCGTGGACTGAGAGTCGTAGCGTCGCAGCTGCCAATGGCATGATGGTCAAGCAGCGGTCATGTAGAGAATCTAGGTTCTTGCTAGGAGTCTGACCGCAGTTCACGTGGGGGCTGTTGTAGGAATACGTATGTCCCTTCTTTGGGCTCCCCTAGACAGCTCCTCTCATCTGGACAAACCAGCATGGTGTCAGCAAACGGAGCCGGTCAGAACCTCTGCCAGTCGGAGAAGAACTCGGTCCGTTGCAAGGCGCGAACTCTGCAGGGTAGGCACGGGTACCTAAACCCCCCAAAATATAGAAAATAAGGGCCGTAAACCCATAATAATAGCCCTAAAGGCCATTATTTTACATACTTTTGGGGTCCAGGTATGAGTAAGAGGCTCTAAGCAAGAGGAGGTATTCAGGATTGGTTCACTTTAGGAGTATTTGAGGCATCACTTGTGCCGCGGTGTCTTGTAAGCCCATTCAGCGAATGAGTTGAAGACGCTTCAAATAAAGGGTTGCCCAAGTTTCTCATGGCTTAATGGTTGTTGTTATCTTATACACACACACACACATATATATATATGCAAATGTTTATAGATAGCCCCCCCAATTTCAACCGTTCAACTAGGATTTCCAACAGAGAGTCATCGCTTTAGGCCTTGCCAAGCCCACACCGCTTTTGTAGTACAATTGGATTCATGTGAGCATGATCCCGATGACACAGTATGTAGTCCTGAACCCTGCGTAGGGGGACTACCCAGGTTATGCCCAGCAAGAGCCTAGGTGACCTCCGCGGCGACACTGCCTGATGCAACAAAATCTCGGGCCTGGCCTCCAGCTTGCTATCCTGTGGTTGTAGGGTTTGGAAATAGGAGGTTGAGGCGGTTGAGGGCTTTGGAATCTTGATACGACATCTTCTCATTTTGAACCGCTACAACTCTTTCATAGTTTATCTGAGTGGTCGGGTACGATTTCTCTCGAGCTTATGTGGAACCCCTTGATTTGCAAGGACCAGTATCAGTATTCAGGTGAGGTGTGAAGGGTGGACGCAGGGTTCCTTGTGGTGATTCAATATTTGAATGGTTGAAAACTACAGACACTTCATCAGTTCGCGGGTTAGCACGCTTTGCTTTGTGCTGCGCAATCTTTACGCGATGCTGCTCTTCTGCCTTTGGAGCTGCAGTATCCAGGAGTTTCTCCCTTTGCCTCGCGTTTCAGAAGTGTAGCAGCTCTGGTTGGACTTGCTTGCAAGGTTGCTGTCGGGGATGGGGAGCCAGGGAGGGGGCTTCGTTTGGTAGGCTGCGAGCTACTCCACAGGGTTCTATCTCAGAGCGGGTCTGACCGTTGTCGGGCGTCAGCGGGTCAATTCTGCAGCACATTCAAGGGGCCCTGGTGTTTTGTGGCTGTCATAGTGTGTGTGTGTGTGGCTAGTAGCAGGGATTTCTCCTGCCCAGAGGGCCATCGACCAATCACAATCTTCTGTCAGTGTTTCGGGAGGACCCCGCCGTAACTGAGTGACCAGAAAAATGTATAGTGCTCTCACGATCCTGCGAGCAGAAGGGTGCAGGCAATGCGTATCATTTGCATGCGGCGCATGGGATTCCCACACAATCCAGGTTCACAGCGTAGCATGCAGTGCATGGGGTTCCAACACCATCCTGTTTTAGAGTCTTGATGGCGCAAACTTCTGTAATCAGTCTACACGATGAGATGCAAAGCCCGCAAATCGGCAGCGTAGTTGTATTTTCGTTGTTCCGACGGACATCCAGTTTCAAGGGGATCTGGGTTGAACCGTAGCATTTTGGGAGCCATTAAGGCACTGTAGTGTATAGTACCTATACACGAGCAAGACTTGGGCTACAAGGTGTTCGTAAATCATACCCATACCAGTTGTTGTGTCGACGTTTTGGTACTTATAAGTGCCTCCCGCCATTTTCGAATTTAAGCGGACAGGTGCAGGCAGCTATGCAGAAGCGGGCTGAGGGCGGCTGTCTGAGCATTGGTGCGGGTTGACGGGGCTTCGACCGGGTCATTGGGGTGTCTCAAAATTTGTGGATGTTTGGGTCTCGGGACCCCAGAACATGTAGGGATTATAGGGGGACAGGGGTGGGGGGTCCTTTCGAGGGGGCCCTGCAATAATTGATTGCAGGAAGCTCCTGTAAGAAAGATGATGTGAGAGCGGAATGACGTTTCGTCATTGCTAACTCGTCTGCGTAAGGAACGCCGTGACAGCAGTGTTGCAGACAGGGCTGTGGTCGTATTTGAGCTTCGGGGAGCAGCTGAGGCTCGAAGCTGTTCATGGAGACTCATGACACCAACACTGCGCAAGCCTCGGAAATTGCAGACTCTTGCAGCAAGGGCTATACAGATAGGAGCATTGCGGTCGGGCGGTCGATGTAGATCTTGAGAAGCTGAGGCTTTGCGGTCTGGTTGTGAAGATCAGCGAGGCATTGCGAAGAGTCGTGGAGTTCACGCGTAGCTTCGGCAGACTTGCGCAAGATAACTTCTGTTCAGATGTAGTCAGAGATATGAGACTTTCATCTCTGCTCAAGAGCTGCAGCCACCAGCTGCAGGTCTGACAACTCTGAGTCATCACGCTTAGAGCGTTTGCAGATGCAGACGCAGCTGCCGGCGCAGTCGCATCGCTGCCCTGCTGAAGCCCACTTGCTCCCGGGTTCGGTTGGACTGCAACCTATTTCGACAAGGCTTGAAGCCGGTCCATAAGGTCATAGAGCAGCTACCGTTGATTGCACATCGATTAAATGATTGCCTCATGGGGTACTGCATGGCGTCAGCAAAATGCGTGGAACAAATATTGACTTGTCGTGCCTGCAGGTGTGTGGGTCGTCTTGTGAAGTTTGCTCGTGAACCGAGGGACCATGAGCGGCCTTGCAGTGACATGTAGTGATTCTATGCACGGGGCAGATATCCGGATGCCCCGGGAAGCTTTGGGCTCATAGCTTCCCCTAGCTTGCTGCCCGGGGGACCTGCTGGAGCTGAATACGTGACCTGCACTAGCCTTGACGAGAGCAGTGACAAGCACGTGGCCATGCATGCCGACGGGTGGCATGGAAGGAGTTGGGTTTAGGCTGTGAATGCATGCTGTTCCCAGAGTTGCACGTTGGACTCGCCAGAGATGTTCGCATTGTTCGGCTCGGCCGTGGCCAGAAGGTTGAGAAGGCTTTCCACGCAGAGCCGGAGCCCACCATTTTGGATTTGCTCTCCGAGTGGCTCTGCCGCTGCGGCAGACGAGAGGGCCAGTGAACGCTGCTCAACGGCCCTCTCGCTTGCCGCAGCAGCATAGCCACTCGGCGAGCCAATTGAGCGTAAGTTTAAGCTGCTGGGCTCAGTTTGGCAGCAGGCTTTGTGCGAGGCATGAGCTATGTCCTGGGCAGCTCACTTCGGGGCTCCTGCGTTTTGCAAAGCTGCGTTTCGGCGAGGCCCGTCCTGCCAAGCAAGTGACGCCGTGAAGTGATACACATTCTGTCAGCCACATTCAGAAGCATGGGCTATCTGGCAACTACTTTTCGAGCACGCGCTTTTTCCGTCAAGTTGCAGCCTCTGATTCTTCCTGGATACTGTAGTGCTTTACAAGTCGTATTTGTCGCAAGTGGTACGAGCAAAGGTTTTGCCTTGTAACGTGCTTGAGGCCTGCAACTTGAAACTTCTTTTCCCCTTCGTGCGTGCGTGTCTTTCCTGTTGGCATCCGTATGCAGTGGACAAACGAAACATGAAAGGGTGGGTCCTTGCAAAGTTTGCTCACGGCTTGAGGGCGCCCTCCGTAGCGCACGGGGTAGGTTTCCGGACTTTGGACGCGCTGGGAAGCTTTGGGCTCAATTCCTCCCAAGTGCATTAAGCCTTTGCTTGCGCCATGCCGCGGCGCCGACCTGTGGGACTTAACCCCACACTCTTGGAGGGCTCGCCCAGGAATGCGGCAGGCGAGTACGCTGCCTGCCTCGGGCTGGATGAGAACACCGACGTGCATGCGGCGATGCATGCAGACGGCGTGGCTTGGAAGGAGCGGGGTTAAGGACATTAAGGACTCTGTGATCGCTAGCCGCTGAACAAATACTGTAGCTGCATGTTGGACTCGCCCACTGTTAGGAGTCCGAAAAGGCGCTCCGTGGAGATCCGGAGCCAGAACCCACTGTGCTGGAATGGCTCGCGGAGTGGCTCTTTTGCTGCTGCAGCAAACGAGAGGGCCACTGAGTGCCCCAGCAGCGTCAGCCAGAGGGAGTATGAGCGCCAGCTTGCTGTGGGGCTCAGCCTTTGCGGCTTAATGCGAGGCATGGGCTGTGGCCTGGGCAGCTTCGGGTGGGGGTCCTGGACTTCTCGACGCTTTGTTTCGACATGCTCGGACGTATTCTTGCTCCGCAAGGTGGCTACCCAACCTGAAAACTCCTTCAGGCAGGTCCTGCAAAATGGTCTAGGTTCTCTCAGCCAGATGTAGCAGCATGGGTCTACTATCTGGCAAGTTTCGTTCGAGTATGTTTTCTTCGCGTCAAGAGCCAGCCTCTGACATTTCCAGAATGGGACCATGTTTTACCAAACTCAGCATTTTTACAACGGTACGTATAAAGGTAATTATTACCTTATAAAATTCAAGTAAAAATTCAAAGGTGGCGTCACCGACTGATCCGCACACGTCTTTGCTAAAGAAATGCTACTATATTAGTAGCATTAAACCCTACAGTAACCCTAAACCCGAAATCATGAATATTATTACTATTATGACTACTACCATTATTACTACTATTATTACTAATATTACTACTGTTATTATTCGTGGGCATGGCACGTTCGCGTGTTCATGGCAAAAGTCGGAAGCTTTTGACAGGCCCGAGCCCAACATGGCAGCTGCCGCCACCGGGAGCAAAGCACTCCAGGACAGCGGGGCTTGCAGATGCTTGCAGTGACTGTGCTACTCGTATAATACAACTAAATTATACGATAATAGACGATGATATAAGTATAATATACTGTAATATAACATGTAATGTACTCCCCAGTGATTTTGCTGGTAGCTTCTTTTGTAGTGTTGATCTTGTTGTAGAGGTGGCTGCAAGATAGACGGTGCCAAGCGTTCAACGTCCGGGTGAAATACGCAGCGAAACCTTCCAAACCTCCACAATCGACTGCGCGCTTTCAGCTTTCGTTAACGGCAGACGATGTTTTGAAGGAGGTGGAGGTTGTTGGGAAGACCACCGTTTTCGAGCTGGAAAGCAAGGACTGCCTTCTCTCCATACAGTCCGCAGAGATCGTGGCCCCAAACAAAGCTCGAATCTAAGCAAAATGCCGTAGTGCTCGCGAGAGGTTGCCGAGCTTGGCGTCGTTTGCTCCGATTCTGGCACCGAAGCTTCCGTGGTGATTTTCCAGAAGGACGCCCCTATCTCAGCACAA